AGAAATTCGCACCTGTTAGGTCGGGACAGCCGTCTCGCCTGACAAGATTGGGACTGCCGTCTCGACTTTCGGGACCGTCGTCTCGCCTTTGGAAAATGACGAGACGGCGGTCTCGCCTTTAGCAAGTGGCAAGACGGCGGTCTTGCCAAACGAGAAGGCGGTCTCACGTTTGGCAAGTGGCGAGACGGTAGTCTCGCCCTTAGCCAACAGCAAGACGAGTGTCTCGCCAAACGAGACGGCGGTCTCGACCCTTTGGGTAAAATTTCTTATTTTTTGTGTACAAAAAGTCTTCCTATTCTATAGTATGAAGCCTATTGATCAATCCTAGGGACCTCTAAGGAATTGTCCATCTTCGAACGGAAGTCTTTTACTCTTTATTTTGAGGTCGGACAAGATTTGGGGTCTACATGGCTCATCTGGTCCTTGTCTGAAAGTAGAAATTTTAGCTTTCCCCTTAATGTAAGGAGAAGGTGGGAAGAATCTATTCAAGAATTTTTCTTCTACATCACTCAAATTGTTCAGACTTGGATTTGGGTGTGACTTAAGCCATTCCTTTGCTTTTCCTATCAATGAGAAAGGAAACAAACGCAGATATACATGGTTAAGATCTCCTTCTGCAAAACCCATAGTGCCTATCAGTTCATAGAATGTAGAAAGATGATTATATGGATCTTCATTATCCATTCCAGTGAATTGATGAGAACTGATTAAGCTAAGGAAAGTTGGCTTCATCTCCAATGTTTTGGTGGTGTGTGGTATTGTTATGCTAGAAAAGTATCTAGGCCCTTGTTGCATAGCATAGTCTCCAAGAGTTTTCTTGGGTTGGATTCGTCTTTCTTCCTCCATAATTTTTATTTCCTGATGTGTGATAGAAGGACTGGAAGATTGTTTCTTTGCTTTTCCTTGCTTCTTCTTGTTTTTTCCTCTATTCCTTCAAGCTTACTTTTCTATCTTCGGGTCAAATGCTAATTGATCTTTAGAAACCTAACCTCATAATAACATAAATCAAAACAACTCCAACAAGAATTAGTACAAAAGAGAAAACTAAATAAACTATCTAATTAAGAAAATTATTCACAAAGCTGGATGAGACAACCATGAATTTCAAAAGAACACCATAAATCGGTAATAGCGCCAAAAATACGTGTTGGGCTCTTGGCAAGCGTACCAATAGTCAACTGTAGTATAATGATATTTTTTAGTGAAAGTGTTGATCCCATGATGAACGGGTTCAATTAAAACAAATAGTTTATCTCAAACAGCATATGTACAAGGATATCCATTTGATTCATGAATGATAGTAATGATTTATACTAAATTTGCATGAAAATAATATAATGACAGTACATTAATTAGAAAATATTCAAAGAGAGAAGTTGGGATTGAATTTCATTTATCTCACTTTTGATGAAAATAAACATATAGCATCTGAATTTACCAATATTGATGCAACACATAATAATCATTTATACTGATTCCTGACGTATAAAATTCATAAGATCGGTTCCCTGAATATTGATTCCTCACATATCCAACAAACTGTTCAACATTCTTTTCAAGTGTTAAAAGCAATTGATATACTGAAATCTATTCCTAGCATCACAATACATCAAGTATTTTTGTTTAGGTCAGATTTTCAGAAATACTTTCCAGTCACGTCTAAAAATCACATTCATGTATCTATTGATAAAATAGAATCAAACATTAAGAGTAGAACAAAAATACCAATATTGAATAAAAACAGAAAGCTATATATAAATATCACCAAATTACTTCCGAATTCGAATCGATTACATTCAATCCCAAAAGAAAATATTAGTCACTTATGGTAGTCATTGACATCCTAAGAGAAGAAGAAAAACCCTAAAGCTAAAACTGGAGAAGAACTTTCCCTAATATTGTCAAAAGCGGCGCACCCTCCTCTTTATTCTAAACCACAAAGTATATATATTGTGCGAGTTCTCGCTTAAGCTAAATTATTCTCGCTTAAGCCAGAATGACTTTCAAATGGATTGTTCTCTGGACGAATCTCGCTCAAGCTAGATAATTTCTGCTTCGGCGAGAATAGCTTTCAAATTAGTTGGCCTTTGGACGAATCTCGCTTAGGAGATACCATTCTAGCTTGAGCGAGTTGTGGTAGGATTTCATGTCTTTTTTTCTCTGGTTCTTCCTTTCTTCTTTTTCTTTTAAGCCCCTTTCTCCTTCTCTCTTAATTTACCTGAAACATATACAAAATGAGGATCAAATGATTTTCTTTTTAATTAAAACTCGGAAACATATGATTATATTTCATCAATCTTAAATTAGGGGAAATTGATACCAAATATACACAAGTTGAAACAATAATGCCATCATTCCATATGAAAATTTACTACTTTTTGGCACTTATCAAACTCATACTTGATTACCCAACAATGGTATGTTTTTAATTAAAACATGTTAAATGCATGGTTTTTGAAGAAAATAATTAGCTTAGAAAATACTCTTAAATCAAGAAATAAAGAGTAAAATGACATACATCAAATACTTCCCACTTTTACTCTTTTGCACTTCCAAGTAAAGGATAAAAAAAAAAAATGCATGCGTAATGCATGCATGGATGTGATGCAAAGATGGGTACTGCTGCAAACGTTAGTGACATCTATAAAACTACAATAGTCAAGAAACTTCATTAATCAAAAGTGAAAGAATAAAAAAGATCAAGATCATAACTCACAAAGTATCATCATAACCAAGTATGAATCAATTCAAGGGAACATTCTCACGAGGTAAAGTGTTCTCTAATATCTCAAGTGTTTGTATTGATGATTTCCACTCATCATCACATCATGACATCATTCTTTACCATAGGCTTTAAAAATCTCTAATTTCCCACCATGAAAACACATACCTCAACATATCAATAGGACTTTTACTCGGTTTGCAATGGGGTTAGGGTCAAGGGTAGGTTAAAGTAGGAAAATGGGCTAAGACTTTATGAAAAATAAAGAACATCGATAAATGTACCTTGTATCTTTGTTCTACTTGCATCTTTAAAAATGATTGTCACTTTTGTGTTGGAGTACCTTTCGAGCTCCTTTATTGCTTTGACACATAAATACAATGATTTTTTTTTTTTTTCAAGAACTTTGACACTTCCCCTTTTTCTAGCATTGTTGGTAGTGAGTAAAACTATTTTTTTAATGACCTTACTCCTACGTATTCTCATTCAAAATGAGAAATCAAGGTTATATAATTCTTTATAACAAAAGTTTGTGTATTTGATTAATGTTTTGAAAATTTGGTTTTTGAAAAAGTTTTGTATTTTGCTTTGGCTTTTGAATATTGTTGTTGACGTTTTGAAGACACAGAATGATGCATGTAACCATACCTGTGTTTCAAAGGTTTATTATTTAAAATAAAAAACATAACGACGTAAACGATCGTACCCGTACCTCAAAATTTATTTTACAAGAAAAGACGTAACAACACAAGTCATCGTACCCATATTTCCAAATTTATTTAAAAAAAAAAATCATGACAAATATGAGCGACTATACTCGTACCTTAAAAGTTTATTTTTAAAATAAGACACTTAATGACACTTGCAACCACACCCATATCTAAAAATTATTTTGAAAATAAATATTAAAAATGAACATTAGGGTTTAGAAATGCAAGTGGTTATTTTGAAAATAAATATTAAAAATGAACATTAGAGTTTAGAAATGCAAGTGATCATAACCACAATTGTTTTGTGAGGATCGATAAACCAAAAGGAAAATGATACTTTGACAACCCAAATCCATACAACTCCTGTAAACAACTTTGTTTTAATATTATAATAATAGTTTTATTTTATTTTTATTTTTATTAAATCAGTCTATAGATTATTATATTAATAAAAGTGAGTTGTTTGAAGAGTGGTATGGTTTCTAATTATCAAAATAGTCACCTAATCAAGAATAATAATAAATGAAAATGGGTTGATAACTGCAAAAGTCCAGGACCGTTAGTCACCAATTTCAAACTAAAGACCCCCACCAAAAAGTCCAAACCCACTTAGAAACATGTATAGGTAATTAAATTAAAAACAAATATAGTCAACAATAGACTAAAATATTCCAAACAAACGTTAAATGAAATTTTGATAGGATGATGACATAAGCCACGAGACCCACGGTTTTAACATTCCAGAACTATATCAAACAACATTAAAAATGCAAAATCCGACACATTCATCCTAAATGCAAAATCAAAATCAAAACAAAATGAAGACTATAATCCAGAAATTGGAATAAGGCAACACCATAACGAACCAAACCAAACTGTAGCGAGAAAAACAAAACAAGCTCTTGGTCCAAGTTCTACCAAGATTCTTACCAATTCCTCACTTAACCAAAACAGAACATCAAGAGAACAAGCATGTGGTCCAAGGTAGAGTCCAACAACATAAAATTAGAAACAGAAATTAGTAAAAACAATCTTGAGATATCTTTGCCGAACCCAATAGCAGCAGCGAGCAACCCTGATTGTTTCGTGGCTCGAGGGATGTAAGTGGAGGGCTCGGCACCGGCAGTTCACGAGGCGATAGTGGCCGCGGGTTTGGGGTGCTGAGGCAGTCGCGGAAGCGGCTGGTGCTGGTGCGAAGGAGGTTCGTGGGGGGCGCGGTTGCCGAGGGATGGTTCGCGATGGCGGTTAGGGCTAGAGATGGAGGAGTGGTGGCGATTTGTCGTGGGGAAGATTAGAGGAGCTGGAGTGGCTACTGATGGGGTTCCGGTGAGTGGGGAAGTGGCTGATGATTTCTGTGAGGGAGGATGAAGGTAAAGGAGAAGAGAATGGTTATGTGGTGACTGATGCTGATAGGAGGGTGTGCGGGCTCAAGTGAAGGGTTGAGGGAAGGAGGACGCGGGGCGCGACCAAGGCTATGGGTGGTTCACTGAGGTAGCTTAGTGGAGGGTGGCATTTGAGTGGTGTGGCCACGAAAGCGAAGAAATGAAGGCTGCAGTGGAGGGGTTGTGATGGGTGGCCTTAGGTCGCCTGGAGCTTCTGTGATTAAGGGAGGAGTTGGGTGGCGGGATGAGGTGCCGAGAATGAGGGAGTTGATCGGGGGTGGAGATATGGGCGAGATGGAGAAGCGATGGAGACTCAAGGCGGCTGGCTGCGTCGCGGCTAGTTCGATGGTGTGGGTGAGGCGCTGGGCTCCAAATGACGACTTAGGGCACGATGACTTTGGCCGTGATGAGGTAGCAAGTCGCTGGAAAGGAGTATAGCGAGGTGGAGGGACCCGTGGCCAAGATTGAAGTTGATGCAGTGATGGCCGACGATGGTGTGGTTTGAAAAGGGGTTCTTGGGTGGTGGTGAGTGAAATGGGATGGGTTAGTGGTGCAGACCGAGGAAGGGGTGATTTGGGGAAGGAAGGTGTGGTTTCCAAAATGGTGGTGAGCGGTGAGTGGGCAACTAGAGTGGTTAGGCCCACTCGAGATGTGTGACCTAATCTCCGTTTCAAAAAATTTCACTTCAACCTCCCCTTATGCGGCTCCCTCCCCGAAAACCGTGCCCCTCTCTCATGCTGTTTTCCCTTTTAAAAATGTTTGAGACCTAGGGTAAAAACGGGTTGGGCTAAAAAAGAAATGCCCTTTATTTTATTTTTTTTAATTACTACGTGTGTATATATATATATATATATATATATATATATATATATATATATATATATATATATATATATATATATATATATATATATATATATATATATATATATTTTTTTTTTTTAATTTCCTTTTTATTTTCATAAAAAAATTCATTTTTCTTTTCTTTAAGATGTAGAGTATTTCTAAAGAAAATTATTATTATATATTTTTTCTTCTCTTTTTATTTTAAGGAAACCATCTTTTATCCTTTTTTTATCTTTTTTTTCATTTTCTTTATTATTTTTTTCTTTTTTCATATTTTAATTTTTTTTTAACTTTTCATAATAAATGTTGTTATTTATTATTATTATTTTAGTTTTATCTACCTTGACGAAATTAGGTGCTTGACACAGTGAACAAGTACATCAGGTAAGTTTTCAAGAAAAAAATGTAGGTCATTAATGAACACAATTAAGTATCAAATATTTACTAGCCAAAATTCTCTTAGACATGCACTCTTACACTACCAAACTATATAGAATATTTCTTGCAAGAATGGTTATCTAGAATTTCCTACAAGAATGGTTAGGGAGTACACACAAACAATATATATTAATTTTATTAAATATAAAGTTAGAAAAAAAAATGATGTTACAAAATATAACACAATTACAATTGTGTCCCCTACAACGGTGTCATTTGATGATAATATTACAGTCGCGCAAAATATTGATAAAAATTTAACAAGTTGTTAAACTAATACGAGTATAGTTAACTTGTATTGAATCTCACAAGGACACAATTATAGGAACATATCCATTACCAAACACTATTTTATCTAAAAATAGTACATAACATTAAATGGGACATTGATGATAAGAAATCGAAAGAGTAAAAAATAAATGAAAGCAAAATAACGAATAATCAAATTGAAGTAGGATAATGAAAATTTAAATAACTAGAATTTATAAAATTAAAACAGAGTGCATTTAATTAAATGTGAAACTTGTCAAAATAAAGTGCGAGAATCAAAAATTGCTTTTAATCAAATTAAAATAGTACGAGTAATTAAATTTAAGATTGTCGAAAGAGATAAACCTAAAATTAAGTTGCAAATTTGAATCGAAAACAAGTAAAATAAAATTGGAAAATTGGAATAAAAAGTAGTAATATACAATTGGAATTGGACAATTAATAAATTGAAATGGAAAAATCAAATAAATTGAATACTAAAATAAATAAAAAATTTAAATAATTAAATAACCGAAATTAAACCTAGTGCATAATGAATAATGTAAATTCAACAATATAAAACTGGAAAATTCAGGAGTGATTGTAAATTAAATAACAAAAGAGAACAAACCGAAAAAAGTTACGAGTAGATCTAGCTAAGCTCGCCAAACTAAGAACTAAACTAAAGAAAAATGGAAATGGAACGGAAGAAAAGAAAATGGGGACAGGACAAAACAATAGTTCTCGCTCCAGAGCAGCAAATTGTTTTTTTTTGCTCTCATCAGGCCTCTATTTAGAGGGACTAATCAAGAGAAAATAAGCTTGAAACTAATTATAATAAAATCAAAATTTCCTTAATTAAAAACTGCAACACTAGATTATTGTGCGACAAGAAATTTCTAGGAATGATTGGAGCAATTCAAATTCTTTCTTGATTTGAGTTAACCTAACGTTGATTTTTTTTATTTTTTATTTATGCTGTCTTTAATTTAGCTCAAATGGATTTTCGTAACAATTAATTTGATTGATTCAAATTTTTATTTGTAATGTTTCGTAAGAGGGCTACATAAATAAACTTGAGTTTCAGATAATAGTGAAGCTTGGCTACACATGATGCTTGCTATGAATATAGGCCTTTATTTTCATCAATTTGATCCATCTCACATTACCTTTATTCTAAAAAAAATAGAAATATTCATTGTGGATGTATGAATATATGATTTGATGCTAAAACTATGCAAAATACAATAAATTAAGAAAAATTTAATTATGTTATGCTTTTAATAAAAACATGTTAAATACATAGTTTATGAAGAAAATAATTAACTTAGAAAATGCTATTAGATCAAGAAATATAGAGTAAAATGACATACATCAATGATAATGAAAGAGGTGAATTCATTTGAGCCATCTACTTTTCATAAGGCTATTTCTTATGTAATAGCTAACAAGTGGGTAGCTACTATGCATAAGGTGGTGGAATTTTTGAGCAATAATTATACGAGGGAACTAGTAAAACCAATGATAAATGATAGTTGTTGGTTACAAGTATATCTTTATGAATTGCAATTTTGAATAAGTGGTAGATTGTCTAGTACAGTGTTTACATCTAGAACATTTGATAGTTCTGACAAGGTCTAAGCTCGTTTGGTTGTCAAGGACACAAAGGAAAATCTAGCTGACATTCATTAAAGCCAATTCCCGAAACAAATCTATGCATTATGTGCATTTGTTGAATGTTGATGGTTAGAAGTAGTCTTTTTGCAAGGAAAGGTGGAGAGTTCAAGATATGGCCCAAATTCCTTGTATGATCAAACCATTCAAGAATAACAAAGGGTGTAACTCACTTGACGGGTGTTACTAATCTAATGAGTACAACTCATATGTGAATGCAACTAGTGTAATAAGTGCAACTGATATGATAAGTATAACTAGTCTGATATGTGTAACTCATCTGGTGGGTATAGGTTGATTGATGGATGCATCTATCTCATGGGTATAACTCGAATTATTAGTGCAACTCATCTGGTGGGTATTACTCAACTTATGGGTGTAATTCATTTGATGGATGTAGCTTGCCTAACAGATCACTATAAGAAAATCAGGTTTTACTAACAAATAAAACTTGTTGGTAAAAGCAAATATTCATCAATAAAAATACATTTTTGATAGATTCTTTATGGTAAAAAATTTGTCGATGAAAATTGTGTCAATATATTTACTAACGAAAATTTTGTGTTCATTAGTAATTACCAACGAAATTGTGTTTGTCGATAATTACCAAGAGACATATATTTGTTGATAATTACCGAGAGACATATTTATTGGTAATTATTGATGAATGTGTTTGTTAGTAAATATGCATATGAGAAGCTTATTAACATCTTTATCTACAAAATTACCCGCCGATAATTATCAAGAGATTTCGTCCATCAATAATTATTGACGAATATTTATATGTGTAAATATGAAAATGAGAAGCTTATTTACATCATTACCAATGGACACATATCTATTAGTAATTTACGCATATTGTTTGACGAAATTAGCGATGAAATATTCGTCGATAAATGTTTTACCTACAACCATAATCAAGTTATTTTTTAGTCGTACCACAAGACATCGATAATTCAATCATACAATTAATAGTTGTTTTATCAGTTTTACCACAAGATTTGCCTAAATCAATCAAACAATCCATAACTAGTTTGTATAATAACAAAGACAAACTTAACACATATTTGCATAAATCATTAAACTCCAAATAACTGAATAGAGATGGATTCATATATTAGTGAATTTGTTTATGTAACATAATCAATTGAAGTCACAATCAATTTAGGGAACACAATAAGTTTAAAAACACAATCAATGTATATAAAACTCAACTATTAATAATTTGAATAGTCTAGAGATGAACATGATTGTTGTAGGTTGTCTTCTTGTTGATTATCATCATTTGTTAGCTCTCGATTGTCATCTTCTTATTGATTATGACTTAAACTGATGAGTCAATCATTCATTTGTCTCATTTTTTTGCGTCAAATATCCTCCATGTTAGACAAATGGCATGGCATCTAGAGGGGGATGAATAGATGCACAAATTAAATAAATGCCAAATTACAAAATTATTTTAAGATGTCCAATATTTATTAATTCAATTTTAATTATCAAATTGAACAGATATAGCAGAAGCGATATAATCAGAGAGATAAGGAGAAGGAAATAAGTTGATGTTATCACAGAGGTATAAGGAAGAGAAAAACACACAGTAATTTATTTTGATTCGGGTATAGCGAACCCTACATCCAGTTCCCAGTCAACTCTTAACACAAGAGTGACCCTAATTCACTATCTTTTAAATTCAGTTCACAAATTACAATCAACTCAGCAGAGGAACCAGTAAAAAGCAAACTAATTCAAAAGACAAACACCTCCTTAGAAACCCACTAAGGATGAACACCTCCCTAGAATCCCACTAGGGATGAACACCTCCTATGAACAAATCAAAGGATGAAAACACCTCCCTGAACAAATAAAAGAGATGAACAGTTTCTGCACGGGAAACCCTAAAAAAACACAACAGAATGATAGTGACTACTTAAATCCTAAACAGGGAATTTAACAATCAACCACTTAAGCCCACAAATTAAGAAGGTAATAAAATAAGAATAGTCACACCTGGGTAATGGAGAGAACAAATTGTAGAAGCTTGTAGAATGCCAACCTCCAAGAACAAATGTGATTAACAATGAAAACATAGTAGGCAATGGAGAAGAGGGTTTTGGTAAAATATCTATGTGGAAATGGAGAAGAGGGTTTTCTCAAAACATGTAAAATATCTCTGTTGTCTTGCTTAGAATTCTTTTCTCAAAACTGATTGAATGTAAATTGTATTTTCGAATTCTGTAATTGTGTTTTTTTTTTCATCAAAACTTAATTAAATAGAAAAATAGCATCAGAAAATGGTCGTTGGACATTAATATTTTCGTAGATAAAAATCAGGATATATTCAAAAACATTTATTCTTCAAAACAAATATATTTTTGAATTTTGAATTGCCATAATCGATTATCTCCTAAGCATAATCGATTATGTCGAGGTAAAAATCAATTTCTCAATTC